CTTTCTAGTAAAAGAAAAAAAGTGTGTATAAAATTCAGTTGCTCTTGTAGTTTAAAAGAAGACACTGACATAGAGGAAACTTTTGAGAGAGAGGGAGAAGCTGGCAGGTTAAGACTTGTGTTTCCTTAGGGAGGAGAACATAGTATTTAATAGTAAATGAGAAATTTGGTTACGAAAGAGTTGGTGGTGCACATTTTTAAAAACTATGAGCAGCGAGCATCATTTTAGGAAAAGATATTACCAGACAACATTGATAACTCTCTTGGATTTGGCTTGGGTCATTTCCTGTTTAATGAAGCCGCATTCAACAACTTATCTGCATTTGGGGTCATGGGAATGAGTCAGGGGTATAGAAAGGAGAGAATGGAGAATGTAGCTTGGCTTCAGGATTCAATTATAATGTGTTACACTTTATTATATGGAACATCAGAAAAATTCAGTCAATCCTGTAAGGAAAATTAGTAAAAAAACAAAAAAAACCAAAAAAAACCAAAAGTGAAGCTACTGATTATTCATTGATTCTGCAGAAGCCTTGAGGAGGAAGGAAATTTGAATAGTAGGCTCATAATTTAAGAAAGAAAATTGTAATACATAAGTAAATGACACCTATTGCAGATGTGCTTTAAATACCCTTGTAAAAATTAACTTTTAAAAGTAATCCATGCCCACTGTCCAGTGGTACTTAGTGTTCAACTTCTATTTTAATTATTAAGGTTTAGTAAGTGTTGCAGTTACTCTCTTCATCACATGTATTGCACACCAGAAACCAGGAACCATTGTGTGGCTTTAGGCAAATCATTTCTTTTCTAGGCCTCATTTTCCTCACCGCCTCTTTTCATTGATTTCTAAGCCTGTAATTGATCTGATTTCCTCCTAGTTTGTCAACCCTGCTGATTCTAAGTATTCTATTTGCATCATCAGTGTACTTGTTCTGCCACTAGATGGCATTAATGTACCTTTGAACCCTGTCACCTCCAGGTTTTCAGAATCTGAGGTCTGAAGGAGCCTTGGAATTTTTGCTTAATCCACCCCCCCACCCCCCTATTTAACAACTGGGGAACTAAGACTCAGAGGTTAAGTGACATGGCCAAGGTCATACAGTACCTTAGAACCTCTTGAATCCCAGTCATTTATCTTTCCCTCTATTGCACTGTTTCTGTAGGGGGCTTTTGAGGGAAATTCAAAGAGAGATCATGTTTTCAACCATTCCTGCTTTTTGATAATTATCTTTAAAATAATTTAAAACCATTCTTCAAGTGCATATATCATCATATTAAAGATAAATAGTTGGTCTGCTTTTGTGTTTCTGTACTGGCTCCCTCCGAGGAAAAAGCTAGACTGTCAGCTTCTAAAGATCACTGCCCTGCCTACAGCTTGCCTGCCTTCACAATTTGCCTTGGAAATAAGCTCCACAGAAATCTCCACCAGAGCGTCTCTGTCAGATGATTATCTTTCTCCATCCTTGCCCAGTCCCTTGGTAAGAGATTTGCCTTTCAGCTCTTTCCTCCAACCAAACAGCCATCGATTCTTCTGCTTCATCTTTGTCCACTTGCCTAATCCAGAGAGCTTTTGGAGGGGGGAATTAGATGATGCCCTGGTTCTTAAAAAATTGGTCTCCTGGGTTTTCCCAGCACATGTTAATTGGACTCTTTCCTTCCCCCCAACACCCCGCCCTCTCTACTGGTGACAAGGATGGCACTGCCGTAAATCATGGCTGTGTGTGGGGCAGACGGTGTAGCGGGGGGCGGCATGGTCACGTGGAGATGATGTGGGCTCTGGAGTCACACTGACTGGGCCTCGAATCTCTTCTTTTGCTGACTGCCTCTGGTCCATGGTCACCTCTTGAATGAGGGTGATATTTACTGCCTCACAAGGCTGTTGTGAGGAATAGATGAGGTTAATGTTTGGAAAGCTCGCAGTATCAGTGCTTGGCAAACATTGTAGGTGCTCATTAAGTGCTAATCTGGTTGCTGTTGTATGGAGAGGACAGCAGTGACTATAGTATATGAAGAGTTGGAGCCTAAGGGAGGGTGTCAGCCAGAGGAGCTAGTTTCTTCAATGGAGAAAAAAGGGAGGGATGCAGGTATGCCAGGGTCTGTCTCAGTGTTTTGGAGAAATAGTGTAGAAGTGTGCCGCCCAGTACGGTAGCCACTAGCCACATGTGGCGGTTGAGCACTTGAAGTATGGCTGGTCCAAACTGAGATGCTGTAAGTGTAGGACACACATCAGGTTTCAAAGACGTCATACGAAAAAAATGAACATAAAATATCTCGATAATTTTGTATATTGATAACATGTTGAAATGATACTATTTTGGATATGTAGAGTTAAATAAAGTATGTTATTAACATTCATTTCACCCATTTCTTTTTACTTTTTAAAATAGCTACTAGCAAATGTAATGAGGCTAGCATTATATTTCTATCTGATAGCATTGGACTAGAAGATAGAGACCTTTGGTACTCAACCATATACAACTTTAATTTGGGGAATCATGTGAGTTTTCTTTTTTTTTTTTGAAGCTTCTTTTGATTTTTTTTTCTTTTATGATGTTCTGTTCTTCAGAGCATGACCATCGTAAATCAAGATGCCAGTGAGGATAATATAGATTAAGTAATAGTTTAAAATGAAAAGAGTAAGAGGCACTGAATATTCTCCTTAGTCCGCCAAATTCCGAAGACCTCAATTGAGATGCAGGGTATGAATGCAGTTTTGATGGTTTAGTGGGTCAGCCAGAGCAGTTAGAAGATCCTAGAGTTGTTGGTTTTTTTTTAAGCCATTTCATGATTTCAAAGAATAGGATGTGTACAGAAGTCATCTCCCATCATAATTATATGTTATCAGTAGATGAAAACCTACTAGCAGTTAATGATTCTAGAATTTTCTTTCAGACACAAATTAAAAAGCAATTATACAAATTACCAAGAGCGAAAAGAGAATCATAATACTATATATTAAATTGCCATCTGCCTGGTTTTCATCAAATTTATTTTGGTTTTAGGACGTTGGTTACAAAATATTGACTTGCTTTGAAAACCTAAAGATCAACAGTAATCTCATCACCAGCTTGTGTTAGAGCTGTGAGATAATTGCTAATTTCAGACGTTTGTAACCTTCGTTTTTTCAGGTGGATTGAAAAATAAAGTTCTTTATTTACATCTTAAATTTACACTTGCTGTTTTTTATAACACATGTGAAATAGTTTTGTGGGGAGTTTGTCCTTTGCTGATGCAGGAAGCAAGCAGGGCACGTGCATTTTGAGAACTTCGAGGGCAATTCTCATTCTTCTTGATTTAGTCCCAGAATGAGGTTATACCTCATTCCAAGTAAACTTGCTGCCATGATTTATTGGGGTATGAGATGCTGTCAATTGTAAGAGGCACATGTAAGTGCCACCTTGTATAGAAAGTTGAATGCTGCCAATAAAACTCTGATCAGCTGTGGGTTATTAAGATGCATCTATTGCAGAGATGTTAAATGGAAAAAAAAAGTGTACCTTATAAATGATGAAATATAATACACAGATTTTGAAACTTTCAACTAGGTTAAAAGTAAGAGAGCTTGTTTTATATGTTGTTTTATACGTTAGCATCAGACCCTCCCCAAATGAGTCACGTTTAGTGAGTATGGAACTCTTTTCAGTTAATTCTGTAAATAACCAGACAAAAGCAAAGTGTAATGAGCTAATTTTTAAGTTGCTAGAGTCCCTTGATTGAGAAAAGTGAACTTCTAACTTTATTTCCACCTAGTACCTCTGCATCCCCCCCACCCCCCCAAACACACAGCCACCCCGTTTCTAGCCATTACCTATACCTCTAACAAAATCTCTTCTCTTAAAGGCTCCTCATAGCAGTTATTTATAGCCTCTTGTGAATTCAAGGCAAAGTGTTAAATTGCCCAAGGATGTTTGCTTTCTAAGCCTTATCTCTAATTATCGGCTAAAAATCTATATCTGCTTAAAGAAATTTCAGGCCTCAACTAGCCATATGGAACAAGTTTTGTAGGAATGGCAGGGGGAGGAGGGATGTAGGGGCAGCTTCCTACTTGCCTCTGTGGAAGGCTATGGACAGATAACAGAGCACCTCATTTCCTTTCCCACCCTAAAGTGTTCAACCAAGTCTGTCTGCTGGCTTACTGCCTTTGTACTGGAAGTCAAAGAAAGTAAGAAAGTAAACTGCATTCTGCTGCTGGCCTTACTAACTATATCTAAAAGGAAAGCAAAGTTGTAATAGCTGCATTTCTGACTAATTTCATTGAATTTTTATCAGTCTTATCTTCCTTTTGACAGAGGCTATTGAATTTTAAGGAAACCCTGTGATGTAAAGAATTCTTTTGTGATTTCAATAGCTACTTCCTAATTTACCTGTTTTCTACATCTCTAAGTTTACAAATCATACTGACTTAAGTCAGGCTTTCCTCTTTGAATGACTCTTTGGTAATCCAGATTCTCAGCCTGCTTTTTCTAAATTATTTTGGGCATGCCTAAACAGATACATGCTAGGGCAATTTGGCTCTTGGTTAAACTGCAGAAGTACTTGTGGTCTAACTTGAAGATGGAAGCAGAAATTTTTCCTCTCAAGTTTGTAATACATTCATCAGTTGTGAACCTGCTGATGCTCTGTATACTTTCTACATAGTTACATAGATGCTCAGTAAAAATGTTAGATTAATCCCACATTTATAATATCAGGGCTTGTCAACAGAGCTGTCCATTGCTTTCATGGAGTTGGTTAACACAAAAAATGGTCTTTCTCGGTAAAAGACGTGCAGTGATATTGCACGTGCTTTCAGTGTTGTATTAGCTTCGAAAATTATATGGAAAAATGCCATCTCCATTGCTAAGTTTCCTACATTTAAACTAATATAAAATGTAAGCCAAATTATAGCTCTACATTCTTTATAGTAGTGTAGTGTGTTTGTTGATAGTATCTTAAATGATTTTCAGGTTAATTCTATAAATGTCTATGTGTTTGAATGACTTTGTCTTTTGGTCTTTGCAGCTCGGGGTGTGGTTTTCTCTGGGCTGTGCCTATCTGGCCTTGGAAGACTATGGAGGTTCAGCAAGGGCATTTCAGCGCTGTGTGACTCTAGAACCTGACGTAAGTTTGTTTGTTCTTCTTTCCTTATTACAGCTTTTTGGTACTCTTTAAGTTATTTGAATTGTACTGCAGTTCAGAACAGCAATTCCTATGGGTCTGTAGTTTCAGTTATGTAAGATGAGTACACCTAAAATTTTTAAAAAGGTTGATCTCATGTTGAGTGTTCTTATCACAGTAAGAAAAGAGAGCGAGAGAGAGAGAAAGCGGCAAAAAGATTCAAACTTTGTATTATTTTATGTCAAAAAAAAAAGAAGAACACCAATTCCTTTTGTGGTGGAGGAAGGTATCTCTTTGGCAGAAGGTCACACCCTAAGTTATATGAGTTATAAATATAGAAATAAGTTTCTTCTCGTAATAGCTAAGTTATTCATTGTTTTGTTTAGAAAATAGTTTTGGTAGAACAGTTTTTTAGTTAAAAATATACTTTGCTGAGTATACAGCAAAGTGTCACATATATTTTGTTGCTCACCAGCATGTGCTGCCTATGTTAATTGCACTATTAGAAAGTTCTTTTAGTCTATAAATATTTGACAGCTTTACTGAGATGGTAAATAATTCGCATGCCATCTAGTTCATCCATTTAAAGTGTACAATATAATGATTTTTAAAATTATTTTCAGAATTGTGCAACCATCCCCACAGTCAATTTTAGAACATTTTTATTACCATAAAAAGAAATGCCCTGTACCTGTTAGCAGTCACTCCTCATTTCTCCCAAACACCTTCCACGTCTACCCCCCATCCCCACCCCTAGGCAACCACTAATGGACATTCTGTCTCTGTAGATTTGTCTATTCTGAATATTTCATATCAGTGGAATCATACAATGCGTGGTCTTTTTGACTGCCTTTCTTCACTTAGATTAATGTTTTCACAATTCATCCATTCTCTATTCAAAAATTTGAGAAACTGCCAGACTGTTCTCTAAAGCACCATTTTACATCCCCACCAGCAATGTGTGAGGGCTCTAATTTCTCAACATCTTTGGCAACACTTGTCTTTGATTATTGTCTGTCTTTTTGATTACAGTCATCCTAGTAGGTGGTATCTTGTTGTGGTTTCGATTTGCATTTCCTTGATGGCTGATGATGTTGAGCATCTTTTTATGTGCTTTTTGGCCATTTGTGTATCATCTTTGGAGAAATGTTTATTGATATCCTTTACCTATTTGGGTTATTGGTCTTTTTACTGTTGAGTTGTAAGAATTCTTTATATATCCTAGATACAAATCTGATATCAAATATATGATTTGCAAATATTTTCTCCTATTCTGCAAGTTGTTTTTCACTTTCTTGATAGTGTCTTTTGAGGTACAAAAGTTTTTAATTTTGATGAGGTCCAGCCTGTCTGTTTTTTCTGTTGTTGCTTGTGCTTTTGGTGTCATATTTAAGAATCTGTTGCCAAATCTAAGATCATGAAGATTACCTTATCTTTTCTTCTAAGAGTTTCATTGGTTTAGCTCTTATGTTTATGTCAAATCTGCTGTTAAACATATTCATTAAACTTGTTATACTATGTGTGGTGGTGGATATTCACTAAACTTATTGTGGTAATCAATATATCCCACCGATATATACACATATATCAAATCATTATGTAGTACACCTAAAAGTAATACAATGCTATATATCAGTTACATCTCAATTAAAAAAAAAACTAAACATCATTTCAGACAATGTATTTTTTTTTTTTAGTTCAAGAATTTTTATTTGGTTCTTCTATAGTTTTCATGTTTCTACTGAGATTCCCCAGTTGTTACCTTATCGTGTTCTCTTCAAATCTTTTTTTATATTTATAACAACTGCTTTGAAATTTTTGTATGCTTATTCCAACATCTCTTTAATTTCTGTGTCTGTTTCTATTTACTGATTTTTTATTTGGTTATGGATGAATTTTCCTGCTTGTTTGCCTGTCTACCAATTTTTAAAAATTATATCCTACACTTGTGGATGCTATGTTGTTGAGTTTCTGGGTTTTGTTGTCTTCCCCTTGAGGAAGGTAGAGTTTTATTTTGGCATTTGGTTAATTTACCTGTGAATCAGCTTGATTTTAAGCTTAAGGTGGGTCTGGAGTTGTCCGTATTCCAGAGTTGCTGTCAACCTTCTCTTGAGGTATAACCTTTTGGGGGCTGAACTTAATCCCACAGGTGATCAGTAAGAATTCTCCTCTCTGGTTGGTTGGAACTTGAATAACTCCCAGAACCGTGTGACCTCTAGAATCTCCATTCAGCTCGCAGCTGTCTGGTAGTTGTTCCCTGCCTGGCCTTAAGAAGTTTTGCCCTGCACACGTATAGCTTAATATTCAGACAAGGACTCAAGGAGATGCTTATTGAGATTTCTGGAGCTTATTGTCTGCACAGATCTCTCTTCCCTGTTATTTTGTCTTGCAAATTCAGCCACCTTTTCAGCCCTGAACTCTGAACTCTTTTCCCGCTCTTAGTAAGACTTGTTGTGCTTTGTTTGGTTCCTACCTTTCTGTGCTGCAGCCCTCAAAGTGCCTCTAGATAGAAGTGTAGGTTGATTGTTGAGACAACTCAACTGTCCTTCTCTCAGGGATCATAGTCCTGTGTAACCCTTTGTCCAACTTCTCAAAAACAGTTGTTTCCTAAATTTCGTCCAGTTTGTAACTTTTTATGGTGATAAGGCTAGTCTGGTACTAACAGTGCTCTGTCTGTAAGGAGAGGTCCATTGCCAATTAATTTTTATATCATAGGTATGGAACTTGAGAACTATATACTTTATGTTTTATAAAACGTGGAACAAAGAGGAACAAGCATAATTTATATCATTCTTGTTAGAATCAACATTTATATAGAGGCTTTAATTTATTTTTGTCATTGCATAGAGGAATAGGTAGAGAAGTATGTTTGATTGATGAAATACTTAGGCTTAACACTGGAGAACACATATTCCTTTACTCTTCCATCTGATGAAGGATGATGGTAAAATAGCAAAGCCTTTTATGATAGGAAAAACAATATTTTGCATTACTTTAGATTTGTAGTTAATCTATATATTGTGTAAATTATGTTGTAAATTGTCCAACTGTTTTGTAAATATAAATTTGGAAATAAAATCTTAGCAAACTTCCAAATTAGTGCTATAATAGTTATATCATTTTGTTGACCTAAAAAATTATTTATTTATTTATTTATGGCTGCGTTGGGTCTTCGTTGCTGCACGTGGGCTTTCTCTAGTTGTGGCGAGCGGGGGTTACTCTTCATTGTGGTGCACGCACTTCTCATTGTGGTGGCTTCTCTTATTGTGGAGCACAGGCTCTAGACGCTTGGGCTTCAGTAGCTGTGGCACGTGGGCTCAGTAGTTGTGGCTCGCGGGCTCTAGAGCACAAGCTTAGTTTGTGGCACATGGGCTTAGTTGCTCTGCAGCATGTGGGATCTTCCCGGACCAGGGCTTGAACCCATGTCCCCTGCATTGGTAGGCAGATTCCTAACCACTGTGCTACCAGGTAAGCCCTTGTTGACTATTTTTGTTCTAAATTATAAGTGTTAAGTTTAATTTATTTAATTTTCTTATACATTTTTAAACATACCTTATTGAAAATTAACATTGTAAAGAGTACATCTTGAGCTAGGAAAATATGTTATATTTTTTGGTTGCAGCAATTATACCTAAATGAGAATAGTCTGTAACTGTTGTCTATCATTTCAGAACGCTGAAGCTTGGAACAATTTATCAACTTCTTATATCCGATTAAAACAAAAGTAAGTGCATCAAAATAGATGAAGAACTTTGCTTCCAAAATAAATGAATGAGATTTTCTTCAACTGAACACTGAAATATTGTGCCTTACTCTTTGTCTTTTTCCCCTTGCCTACCCATATCTTTGAGTTAGAATGACTTAATATCGCCATTTGCATTCCAGGTGTAGTTTATTTCTTGAAAACATTTAGTATGTAATAAAATAAGAAATATATATATATTTTTTTTTAAGAAATATTTTTTGACCTCTTTATTTGATACTGAAGTTTTGTATCCTAAATTTCATTGCATGGTAAAAGCAAGCATGCCTTTAGTCAGTCAGCTCAACTGATAGATTCTTAATGATTGCTTGCTGTGTACTGGACATTATTGAGACATATAAGTATGAACCAATGTCTTCAGGGAGTGTGGGTTTAAAAAATAAAATATTATGCCATATTATTTTAAAAATTGATTAATAATATAAGTTGTATGTGGTAAATCTCAAGTGAGAAGTACAAAGAGGGCTATAATAATGGTAGGTGATATTTGTAGAACAGTTATATTCTCTGCCACTCATGTAGTCCTGTGAGGACCTCAGAGGAGAGAAGGTGTGTGATGCTGGTTCAGAAATGCTTCTGAGAGAATGTTGGATTCAAGCTAAAATTTGAAGAATTGGTAGAGGGGAGAGAGGGAAGCCTTTCAGGATTTGGAAATAAATGGTCATTAATTTGTGTACCTAGCATTCTGAATCCATGTGACCAAATGCAGAGTGACAGGCATGAATGCCACACTTTAGGATATAGGAAGTAAAATAGTCCAGCTCGAGACTAGTGAGATCTATAGTGGGAGATGAGGTTGGAAAGGTCACTTGGGGTCAAATGGCAGCGTGTTCTGATTATCTGACTGACTAGTTGAGACTATCCTGTTGGCAGTAGGAAGCCAGAGATTTCAGTGGGGTGATTTCATGAAGAAAGGAGTTTTTTAGGAAGATTTATCTGGTGACAGTGTGTGAGACAGAATAGAGTGGGAACTGGGGACAGGGAAACCAGTTAGGAGACAGCTGTGGTAACAGTCCAAGCAGGTGATAACTAGACTGGAAAAAGAAGGGGCAGATGCCAGTTTATAAAGAGAACAACCAACTGGGCTTACTGACTGGCTATAGAAAGCAAAGGAAAGGGAAGAGGCAAGGATGGCTGTTGCCCCAGTTTTAAATAAATGAATTAAAGGGTAGATATATTTCCATTTTTATTTTGCCTTATTTTCAAATTTAATTTTTCTTTGTGGATTCACAAGTATTTCTGAAGATACCATTAAATCCACATTACGTCGAGATCATGAAATGCTTCCGCTGCTCTTGAATGACGATCTACATAAGTAAAGTACTGTTTGTTCTGCTGCTCCCTTTGGAAAGTAATATTATGTTCTTGATTGCAACTGATTGTGTTAAAACTCACCAGAGACCCTTTTGGTTTAGTTAAAGCAGGGGCAGGGGAAGTCCCTGTCATAGTTGTAGAATGATCTCAGTGGGTTTTTTTAGTAATACTGATAATTTTGTATGTAGTGAGGCTCTTGATACTCTGTGTTGTCCTCCAGCCCATTAATCCTAAGAATTCTAATTGCTTTCTCTCTTAGTGGTTCTTGCACATTGTTCCTCAGCTTCTTTTTGACACTTTTTTGTCTTCCTGCAGCTCCATGAATAGGTTTTTGTGTCAAAGTGGGGTTGTAAGGTCAGAGGTAAATCACTCCTTTATTCTTGCCTCTTTACTCTTTGCTTACTTTGCTGCTGCTGCTCCAGAGAGAGCTCAGTTTTGACTCAGGAGATTGTTACTTCAGGGGCAAATTATTAATGCTCCTCTCAAAAGAATCCTACCCCTGCCTTAAAGTGACCCTTTAAACTATCTCATCTCTCCCTCTGCTGTCACCAGGTTCTTCACTAAAGTGCTCTTTCCCCCGTTTCATCTGATTCCCCTAGGCATCATGTCCCTACCAGTCCCGTGGGAAATTTTTCCATCTTCCTATATAACTGTCATAGTGCAGTATCACTACCATTGTGGGTTTGATAAATGAATCCGGAATTGAAGCTCCTTAGAAGGAAGTCATACCTCCAAAAAAAGGATTTCATTGCAAAAATTTTGAAGCCAAAAAATTGTGATTGGAGGATAGGAGGACATACAAAAAGGATAATCCTCCTGGTGTGGACTGCTGCTTGTTGAGTTCTTTTCCAGTAGGACAACTTCACCCCCACCCCCTATGTAGATGGGAGACCTGCAGAATCTCAGTCCACTGCCTTTGAAGGCAGTTGCTATCACATATGAGGTGGGCATAGGGAGTAGAGTAGAGAAAGAAAAAAGAATCACATAGAAACAATTTATGGCTGAATTTGAAGAAGTATTAGAGCAAGGGCACTTACATTTTTAACTGTAAAGGAGGGTGGGTCAAGGGATAAATGAATCAGTGCCATGACAACTTTCGGTAAATTGTTTAATATAGGGTATAAGAAACTAAACTGTGGTGAATTGTGGTTATGAAAAGACTAAAAGGACTTAATTGTAAAGAAATTTTGATTAGTACTATAGGTATATTAGAGAATGAGTAAACGATTTGTGTGTTCAGTGACTAGCAGGGAAGGTTACTAAAAAGAATTTACACTTCTTTTTAAGTGCTTTAGGGGGTGACTCTTAGAACAAGGGCCTGAGTCAGCCAGAAGACCCCCCACCATCCTCTCTAAAATTTGCCTTGAAGTCAGCAAAGAGGAGGGGTGTTGGTGAAACCCTGTGAGGCTCAGCAGGGAAAGGGAGGTGGACCTTGTAGTCTTAAGTTAGCAAATTCAAAGTGGCTCTTGGAGACGGAGATTTGATAGCATACCTTTGAAAGAGGTTACTATAGTTGTCCAGTAAAGCATTTATGATCTATAAGGGAGCCAGTAAAGTATTAAGAATCTTTTTGAGAGCTGAGATGTTTAACTTTTAGAATAGGTGACATGAAGTTCTGTTGATTTCCTTGTCAATATCAAGTTTTTAATAGTGTTTTTCTATTTTTTGAAGTAGCTGGGATAAGGCAAGGATTCTGTAAAACCACCTAGCCTGGTTTTAATTTTTATTGATTTATTTGGCTTTCTATTTTTTAGCTCATTTTGCATAATTTGTTCATAATGTTCTCTTATGAGTTTTTTAAAAATTACTAATTTTATATATACCATTTTTCTAAATTCTAAATGGAATTTAGTTAGACATTTGTCTGTTTCATTAGTCTTTTTCAAAAAGTCAACTTTTGGTTTTGTTGATCATTTATATTCTTTATATTTTATTTCATATTTTCTTCTTCCTTAGAATTTCTTTTCTTCTTTCTTAGAATTATTTGGTGTTCTTTTACAAAATTAAGTTGGATGTTTTAGCTCATTTATTTCCCATCTTTCATAATTATAATCAATACATATAAAAATATAAATTTCTCTCTAAATACTGCTTTACATATATCTTGCAGATGGTGGTATATAATGCTTTCATTAAATTCTAAATATTTTATACTTTCTAATATGAATCTCTCCACGCCCTCCCCCCACTGTAGGTTCCTTTTTTTTAGGAGTGCATTTTTAAGTTTGCAGGCATATATTTTTTTAACTGTCTCTTTACTGTTGATTTCTTATTTAATTGCAGAGAATATGGTCTATATACTTGTAGTTTTACTTTTTTTTTAAACACAACTCATAATTGTTTTTGGTCTCAATAATTATGTAAATTTACTGACATACTTCATTTTCTCTTCTCACCATTGATCATTTCTTATATCCCTTTACTTCTCTTTGAAGTCCCTTTTATTTTTGCAAGAGGAGATGCTTTAATAGTTCTTTTAAGTTAGGGTCAGTAGGTGGTAAACTTCCTTAGTCTTTGTACATGTAAAATTTTTTATTTTGCATTTATTCTTGAGTGGTAAGTTTAGTTGATTATAAAATTTTAGGCTGACAGTTATTTTTACTTTGCACTTTAAATTATTTTATTGCCTTCTACCATCTTCTGCTGCTAATGAAATATCTGCTGTCCTCTAACTGTCATTCTTTTATAGGTTTTAGGATTATCTTCATGTTCTGCAGTTTCACACAAAGTGTCTAGGTGTTGGTTTACCTTTATTTATTGGCCAACCCAATATAATGCTCAGTACACAAAATATACTTTTGATCATAGAATTTAGATCTTTGTTCAGTTCTGGAAAATGCTCAGCTATTACCTTGTCAAATGTAGTGTCTTGCCATTTTCTGCATTTATTTACTCTGGAATGTCTATCGAATATATGCTTAAATCTTACCTCTCATTCTTTCCTCTGTCTCTTTATTACTCTTTTATTTTTTAATCTGAATTCCTCACTGTTATCTTTCAATTCATCAGTACTCTTTTTGACTGTGTGTAATCTAGTTTTTGTCACATGTTGAGGTTTTTTGGTTTGTTTGTTTGTTTTTGTTTTGTTTTGTTTTTTGCGGGGTACGCGGGCCTCTCACTGTTGTGGCCTCTCCCATTGTGGAGCACAGGCTCCGGACACGCAGGCTCAGTGGCCATGGCTCGCGGGCCTAGCCGCTCCACAGCATGTGGGATCTTCCCGGACTGGGGCACGAACCCGTGTCCTCTGCATCAGCAGGCAGACTCTCAACCACTGCACCACCAGGGAAGCCTGGTTTGTTTGTTTTAATGTCTCTTGCAATTTCAAAATTTCTACTTGGTTTTTATATATGTCTCCCTATTCTTGTTTCATTTCTACTTGTTTTTGTTTGCCATTTCCTGTTAGGGAAATTTGAGGTGGTTTCGGGTTGTTTGAACCTCTAATACTGTTTATTAACATGAATGATTAAGGACTGACAGAAAGTCCACATGAGTATTTTATACATTTAGCTATAGTTTATTTAGCTATGGTTATTCATTATTGTTTTTTTTGTTTTTGTTTTTTTAACTTGACCTTCAATAGAGTGAAAGCTTTTAGAACTTTACAAGAAGCCCTCAAGTGCAACTATGAACATTGGCAGATCTGGGAAAACTATATTCTCACTAGCACTGACATTGGGGAATTTTCAGAAGCCATTAATGCTTATCATCGGCTCTTGGACTTAAGAGACAAATACAAAGATACTCAGGTAGGATATTCATATTTTGTTATTTCAGTTTGTGTTTGGTATTAATACTTCATTACATAATGTAAATTGTTTCCTTGACTCTACATAGGAAAATTTTGTTAAACACAAGTAATATATAAAAGAGGGCTTTTTTGTATAGTTGAATATTCTTAGTTACATATTAATTCTGGCATTCCAATGTCAAATATGTTTGTGTAATCATAGACTGAATATTACTGTGACTCAGTTATGAAAATCTGATATGTGGTTTACATATGTATAGTCAGCTTGCAGAAACTTAATAGAGTGATGCTTGTGTTATTTATAACTTTGGTTATCTCAGTGCAGTAGCTGGATTAACTCCCATACTCATTTATCCACTCGTTGAACAGTCATTTACTGCATACTTTCAGATTGTTTGAACAATATAGAAATGAAGACTAACATTTTCTTTGCACTGTTTAATGAGATGGTCTTCATTGGGATGAAGTCAGGACTGGTTGATTCTTAACAGTACAAAAAATACTATATCCTTTCAGAAACTATGGGAGACTTGAAGCCCCTATGTTTGACATCCAATAGTATTAAATATATAAGACCTTGTGGGTTTTATTGTGGGTGAAGAGAATGTTTAAAGATAGGGTGTATAGGAGCTTATAGGTTACAAAGTCCAGGGGCTTGAAAATTTAATACTTTATTTGCAATAATCAACATATATATTATTTAAAGTGATGAATTTGGAATTATGAAAAAACAAATAACATGTAATATATGATAATACCTCACTACTCTTATGGCTTATTATAGATGTACTCCAGCTGTTCCAAAATTTACCTTGTCTGGTTTCTGGTTTCGTAGCCCCAGCCCTCAACCTGTTTGCATGTTCTTGCAAATCCAGCTATATAATTCACTAAATTGCTTTAAAGCTCAGGTTCTGGGCAGTTCACTTAAAGATCTGTGGCTTCAAGTAGAACCATATGCCTACTTACAGGAGCATTGTTGACCCCTTCAATTACTTTTCTTTTCCTTGTTTTTTTTTTTTTTCCCCCTTTTTAACTGTTGTACATTAACCATCCATTATAGAAAGAAGGGACTTGAATTTTATAGAGTGAAGATCACTTAAAACGTGCATGGAAGCATAGCAGAGTTTTACATCCTAGAGAGGATAGGAACCCTAGCCAATCTGTTTGCACAGTCCTCTGGCCATCTAGTACTTGTCCTGTTCACCATTGTGATGGCTCTTTCTCTTCCGCACTTAGTGCCTTGGCAAAGGGCACTGATGAGGCTCTGAACAGATCTCGGTGTGTTGCTGAACCACTGAGGATGGTGCAGAGATTGCAAAATGCTTGTCTCTTGTTTATCTCAACTGTAATTTTTTAAAAGACCTTTCTTTACTAAGAAAGCCTTGTGAAGCCTGTTCTAAAATCTCAGGGAGAATGTAAATAATTTGCATTGGTAGTATATTCCATTTTACACTTGAAATAAATTCTTTTTTTTTTTCCTTTCACAAAGCTTGTTCTGAATGCATAGAGATGTATTTTGAGAAAAGGAAAAAAAGTTTTAAGAAAAACCCCAAAACTTCTCCCAGCATAAATTAAGATGCTTTCATTTAATTTTTATCTTAAATAGAGTTTCCAAACATATTTTAGTGATCATATTCACAGTTTTAAACTCCTTCCGGCAAATCTAATCATAAGAATTTTCACCCATAGCAAAACGGTGTTCTAATTCCCATTGAAAATTTTCTAATCCTCTACCTGTTTTAGCAGAGTATTTAACTTATATCATTTTTAACTTAAGTGAAAATTGAGTCGTTTCCTACCTAGAGAAAATTATTAGGATTTAGTTTAAATTCATGGCCAGCTAATACGTTGATTTCTTTTTTCCTGTAATTCTTTTGTTCCTCAAATTCAGAATATGAACCAAACCTCCTTTCATACAATAGTATTTCATCTGAGCACTAATATTTTGATGAGTTTGAAATTAGTTTTTATAAAAGTTCAGTATTTTTAGAAACAATCAAGGGTGGCATCTATATTCTTAAGACTTCTTCCCTCAGCATCCCTGCCACACACAGGAACACCAAGAATCATTCCTGTTAGACAAAATACTGCTTATAAACAGAGCACCTAGAAAAACATAAGGTGCTATAAAGATGTCAGATGGTATGGCTGTTAGCTTAATTTTTATATTTGGATTTGGGGAAATATTACTCAGAACGTAAGAACTAGATAACCAGTGACTTGCTCGGGTCAAATGATCATCTTTAGCACCTTATGATAGAGAACTTTCGGGTATTCAGATGGAGAAATAGCCACAGTGAGATAATTTGTCAGTTTATACTAGGCCCTGTTAATAGCTTTCTCCAGAAGTGTCACAGAATACTGATGGAGGTGTTTGCTCTCTGGCAGGTGTGGGTAGAATCACTCCAGAGTGGTTAAATCATCACTGAAGGAAGGTCTTGATGGCTGGTGTGGTCTCAGTCATATTTAGCTTCGTGGCATATTTGTGTCTGCCATCATGTTTTCTCACTGCTGGTCAGTGTGAACTGAGACAGTTGATAGATTGTCTGGAATATTTTTATCTTGGCTAAAATAATTTTACTGAATTTGACTCTGCAAGTTTGGTAACAGGTGTCTTTCAAAAAAACTCTGATATTCTTATGTTTCACACTACCTGACCTCATTCTATTTCAGTTTGCTTTAAAATTCTCTTTTTATCTATTCTTTTTCTACTTCTTTATAGATGTGATTACTGCCATTTTAATTTTTTTATTGTGTGTATGTAAATTCATATTCATTTTAATACAGACACATGATAAATTAACTATAAATTGTTTTTCTCACTATTTGTAATAGGAGAATGGGTGGATATACTGCCTTTATCATTTACTGCCTTTTGTCTCTATGTCCTAATTTTGACTAATGCATAGATTAGTATAACTCAAGAACACTGTTCTATAATAGATATTTATATTCATGTCTGGATTGTACACACTTTTATTAATCTATCATAAAACTAATTTTCATGTTTCTGTGTAATTAGTCCCTGTTTGATTTTCCAGTTTTCTACTATTGTTAATAGTGCCATGAATATCCTTGTAGACAAATCCTTGTGTACATTCATGCTTCTTTCCTTGGGATAATTTCTAATGTTGATGTGTTCATTTTTTTTCTTTTTCCTTTTCTTTTTATCTTTTTCTGCTCTTCCCCCATCCCCCCTCCTCCTCCCCTTCCTCCTCTTCTTCCTTCTTCTTAGATAACTTTCAGTCATTTGGGGAAAAATTTAAGTATTGCATTATTGCACCCCATTTGCTGTTTATAAATGGAAGAGGAAGGAAAGGGGATTAACATACATCCAGTGCTTACTATGTTCTTGGCACTTAACATGGATTATCTTTTATAGGGCATACAGTATTTGAGGTGGGTACTAAATAGTCCTCATTTTACAATGTATGAATATGAGACCCAGAGAGGTTATATAACTTGACCAGTCATATATCTAGTAGGAACCAGAGATAAGAATCACATTTAGGCATGTCTGTTTTTTGTGTGAACCAAGCCTTGAAGTCTATGGGAAGATTTATATTAAAAAGCACATTTCCCCATTATATTAATGTGCATTTGAACTATATCTAACAAAGTTTTTTTTCTTCAAATTGGGGTATAATTTACATATAATAAAATGCACAGATCTTAAGTGTAAGTTTGATGTGTTTTGACCATTAAGTATTCTTATGTAACTACTTCCCAAAAAAGATATGGAACATTTTCATCACCAGAGAAAGTTCTATTATACCCCTGTCCAGTTAACTGAGCCACCACCCTTTCCCCTCACCCAGGCAACTACTATCTGATTTCTGTCATCACAGTTCAGTTTTGCTTTCTCTTGAATGTCATACAATATGTATTCTTTCCTATGTTGTTCTTTGTGTGGATTTCTATTTGGGGAAGGAGGGAGGTGGTGTTGATGGGCAGTGGGGCAGGTTGCCAACCAGATTGAAGTCCTGGAGCAAGTGGTGGCTGGGCTTACCTGAGAGAGAAGAGCAGAGGGAATGGATATATTGTATACAAATTCTGTCTCTGTGAAGTAGATACTATCCCCATTTTACTGCTGAAGTATCTGAGGCTCAGCAAGATGAACTAATAAAGTTGATCTTTCACAGCTAACGAGCAGTCAAGCCAGGACTTGAAGTCTGACCTATTTAACCTAAAACCTGTGCATGCCTTTTCCACACGTGAAGAAATTTTTTCTTTTTTTGGTGAAGGAGTGAAAAAGACAATGTTAAACTGCCTACGTCTCTCTGATAACTGAGGTGTGGGGAAGCCAAGGGTCAGGGTTATCAGACCAGGAAACAGAGCAGGTTCTTTAGAGAGCTCCAAGTGGAGGGGGGACTTGGCCAAGCCAGGGAGGAGGGAAATGGCCTCATTCCTGGCCTCCAGCCCTCCTGGAAGTGTTTGTAACTGGACCTGAGGCAATCCTATTCCTTCCTGCTTTGAAGACCTCCAGGATTCAAAGGGCCAACGCCTTGTGCTTTCAGCCAAGATTTTGGGGAGACTTGGCCAAGGACCTCAAGGTTAGTGTTGGGGAAGAGGATAGTTATACTTTTCTCTTTGTGGAGATTAGAATCGCTGCTCCTCCATGTGAGAAAACGTCAGCTCTCTTCAGGGGCTAGTGGTGGTCCCCCACAGTCACACTCTGCTTGATGCAGTCCATGGACCATGGTGGAAGTGAGAAATAGGCTGAGGAAAGAGAATGAAACAAAAGTGCTCTATCACTGAAGTGATTAGAGATGTGGGTTAGAGATTTAGACGTCATTACATGAAGTTGGTGGTGTGGCATTGGTTTAGTTAGGAAGTGAGGGGCTGCAGGGCTGTTTATACTGATTAAAATGAAATCCCTCTAAACATCCAGGCTCAAAAAATATACTTAGATTATTTTATGATACACAAAATGAATTCCAAATGGGCTAAATATATGCTAAATAGTTTTTCATCTCCTAGAAAAATTAGCAGTACAAG